TTTTTTTTTATGAGAAATTTGAAGAGACAAATTTTTGTTTGTGATTGTAGTTTGTAGAAGATAAGATAAGGGGATGATTATTATTCTGATCGATGTTTATTGTTCTAACACGAAAGAAGAAGAAAAGATGAAGCTTTTGATATTCTTTTCCTGCTGCAAGTGCCCTAAATAATTAATAGGCCAACTTAAATTACACGTAAGATGCCATGTTGCCACTTGTTTCTTAATAGAAACCAGTGTATGGTTTTATAGAAAAATCGGTCGAGTTGATTCGATTTATGTTATGTTTTAAAACATGATATTCTAATTTGAGTATTTTTGTTTAAAAAATGATTGTTGAATTGTAGAGTGGAACGACTTTACTTATTAGTTATATGATATTGTCCTGTGTACATTAAATCATTTCAATAATGAATAAATTAGAAAACTTCCTTTGAGGAAATTGGGTTTATTTTGCATCTATTACAACTCAAATAGCAATGGAAATTTACTTTGAGTAGAAAGTAAAATCCCACCAAAATTTTTTTATTTTACTACAATTGATAACTTTTTTGAAATTCTTTGAAAAATTGACTGTTGATTTGTAATTTGAATTTCAAATTTATTCAAAAACGCACACACACACACACACACACACACACATATATATATATATATAATAAGAATAACTCTTTACCAAAAATAGTAGCAGAAAAATAGGTCAGAATTTAATGCAGCCAATAAATAGTAAGTTTTATTATTTTTCTTATTATTTTTCCTTAAAAAACCATACAACATTAAATGTTGCCTTAAATTTCGGGCTTTAGTTCATATTATTATTTAAAAATTCCGGCTAATATCTATTAAGTGTACATGTTTTTATTTTATTTTTTTTTTTTAGAAACAACGAACAATATTAAAATCTCAGTCTCTATATTTATGATATCAATACAAAAGGTAACAAAAATTTTACAATCTCGGTCTTTACATTTGTGCCTTTCACGAAAATATACTAAACACTAAAAATATTCTTTAAATATTATTTTTCACAAATTATGACAATTTATTTATTTGGAACGTGTAATAATACACTTGGTTATATTTATCCATTCTTCGTTTACCAATCTGTTGTTTTTTTAAACTCGATTTCAAAATGTAAAATAATTTTCAAAATCTTAGGCCTCCACTCATATTATGAGCTAGATTCGCCCTTGTACATCTATATATACCCACATAAATGAAACCATTCATATAATGTAAAAACGAAGAGCTCTTGCATTATATTTTCAAAGTTCATAAAACATATTGTATTCTTTGATTTTTTCGTTGAGTCTTGAGAGTTCCAAACAATAGTATTGTTCGCCGAAGGCTTGTATATTTGAATTACCGTTGTATACAAGTCGAAAGTCGTTGTATCTTGGAGGCGTTTGCCGTTAACCGTGGGTATTTTACAGGCAATTTCGTCTTAAGGAGAACGTAATTATTACCTGCCTCGACTTTGATTTTTGTTTCGTTTTGTTCATTCTCCTTAAGCCGTCTTTTTTATATTCACAAACCACATAAAACTACAATAAACACTTATTTATATTGACAGTATTATCTTTTCAATAGTACACATTAAAATTAATACTCACGTTGATTTTACAATTCACATGTATATACTTATTATCAACTTTTGGAAATCTCTAAAATTTCGGGCAAAATTAAATGCACGCTAATTTGATATTTTTTTTTAATTTTGTATTTTTCTTTAACAACAAAATCTAACAGCATTTAACGCTCCTATCAAAATTGGGTATAGTTCAATTCAAATTCAAAAAATGGAGCTGTGAATACTTTTTAAAAATTTTGTACCGATTTTCCCAATAATTTTGGACGGATTTGCCAACCATTCCATAAATTAAGGATTTTGTTCAATTTAAAATTTCAAAGTATCGACTTCAAAATCTGGCGTATATCAAATTTTATTCATTTTGAAATTCAAAAACACCAATGCACATGTTTTTTAGATATAAATATTTTTAAAAAAAATTGGACTGATTTTTCCAATAATTTTGGACGGATTTTCCAATCAGTCCTTAAATTAAGGATTTTGTTCACTTAAACTTTCAAATATCGACTTCAACATATGATGATGTATATAAAATTTTATGCATTTCAAAATTTAAAAACACCAATCCATTTTAGATATAAACTTTCAATTTGACATGTATTTTATAAATCACACCTTTTCAAAATTTTGATTTATTTTGTTTAAATTTTCGTGATTTCGAATTTAAAATCCTTTGTTGGAGTAATTTGTAATTACTAATATTTTATATACTTTTAAACATGTTTTTCGGGTAAATTTTTTACACATTCTAAAATACATATATATGTTAAATTTAAATGTCCTTAGACATGTTTTGGTTACAAAATAGTTTAGAAACATTTTAGGTGAATTCAAATTTTTTAAGAATAATATATAATGTTTTATATAATCTTAGTATATGTTATATAATATTTTAGGTGTTTTTAATATTTTAAACATACATGTTTTATGTTATCTTAGACAAGATAATTTTATATTGTAAATTATATCACATGTTAACCCTACTTCTTTTATTTATAATTATTATTTAATATTGTTTACTCACTCATTAATTTATAATAATTATTTAATTTAGTTTACCCGTGTATCGCATGGGCTACGCACTAGTTTAAAGGAAAATATCATAAGCAGATTTTTTTATACATTCCATTTTATCTTAACTTACATATAACTACATTCCTAACAAACATTAAGCTTGCTTATATATTTTTAATAATTATATTAATAAATAATATTGATATACATTAAATATTTATTATTGTACAAAAAAATAATTTCTATAATTGTTATAAATAATAATGAAATCATACGACAATAAATCTTTAAATAAAATAATATTTGAGTATTTTGATGAACCAAAATATATATAATTATTATTATTTTTGTATTAAAAAATATATGTTAAAATATATTTATATTAATTTAAACGGGTCAACAGTCTAATATATTGTTAAAATAAAGGCTTAAAAAATGTTCTAAGATACGAAACTCGTGCATCACACGGGATTCTCACTAGTTTGGAGTGATAAGATCATTNTTAATGTTATTTTTACTTTAAAAAAAATGGTTAAATACTATAAAGTTTCAATTTTTTAGGGTATTGTTTGTCTTTTTTTTTTTAAGATTTTTTTTTGTTGCTTATATTGTCTAGGGTTCATACTTTAGTTTCTCTTTTTATGTTTTTAGCCATTGTTAACGAGGGACCTTCTTGATACCGTTCATACATCATATATATTCTCGTCATCTCAACATTAGATTGATCAAAATTTCAATCTCAATCCTACATTTAATGTTCGGGGCAAAAAATGTATGTTGACTGCTTTGTATATCTCGTACATGCTAACCACCTATTATATTCGTATTTTAAGTTTAATTATTGTTTATTTTAATTCATAATCAAAATTATAATTAATTTCAAGATAATTTATACAAAAGAAAGAATAATTAAAAATTATGGGTTATTAATTTAAAGCATGTCGTAATTGAAAACCCGGTTACTTCACCGCAGGCTACCGTCGTCAGTTGTCGTTCGTCACCCATCTACCAATGGTGTGTTTTAACAAACCACATATCGTTTCTAAGTTCTCGAGTTGATATTTCCTACGGAATATTTAATTTCATCATATGATACCTCAAATTTTGTTAAATTATCGTTAAAGTTTGAAAATAATTAAAATTTTTCACATTAGATCTTATTGAAATCTCACTGGAGATCCAACCGTTAGATTGTTGTATAACATATATGTAAAGGAAGCCCTTTTCATAAGAAATCCAACGGTATCTCTTAATGGTTGATCTAATCTTCCAATAGTCAGACAAATACCGGGAGGTTATCAGATCTCAGTAGCGCGCGACAACGTGATGAAAAATTAATTCGGTAATTTCGGCGGCTCGGTTGTCCAAATGTGAAGGGTAAGCATTCATCTTATTCCTCTTTTCATGGGCAATATTATGCATCTTAAATGAATTTTATATTTTGAATTCATGTGAGCTTTCAATTTAAAATGTCATCTTCCACTTTTTTTTTTTTTTTTTTTTTGAATTTCTTGCGTAATATATGTATAATTTAACATCTTTTAAATAAAATAAAATATAGTTAAAATCTTATTTTTTTAAAGATATTATGTAAGGACATTTTAATTGTAAATAAATGAGTTTTTATTTTTTAATTATTCAATTAGGTAAGAATACTCATGCCAATATTTATAGAAATAACAATTATTATGTATGTACGGGACATTTAACAATTCTATATAGAGTTTAGCTTTCTTAAATAGTTTTTGAGTATTTCATTTTTGTTATATACGCTTTTGACAATTTTATTTGTTTCATTTTTTACTACCATTAATTTTTCTATTTTTTAGTTATTTGGTAGCTTGATACCTAATGCATGACGTTATTTGTTGTGGACATTGTTGACAAGTGGGGTTCGAACTCGTGGGATCTGTTTTAGCTAATCATATCCAAATTTCAGAATTCAATCTAAAATTTGATGATTTAGATTAAGATTTGGAATTCAAACAAAAAAAAAAAAATGTATAGTGTTTAGTAGTTAGCATATTAGGTTGATTTATCCGTCACCACCAATCAGGATTAATGTCAGTTTTCACAAATCAAACTAATTCGTGTCCCGCAACTAACCAAATAATTTGAAAGCTTCTATTTCATTCTCAATATCATTTTTACGGTATGGTAAAAAATATTTACGCGCAGACAGTCACACATCATTATTTTATACTTATATGCAGCCATTTTCATTCAAATTAAAATTAAAAAAGAATTGTGCACTCGGAGCTTTCAGTTAACTAATATTCGATCATGTGCACATATACAGATGAAAATAAAATTTTATATGTTATACGTGTATGTATGTAATATTT